TCCTTTCTTCTCTGCCTGTCCCCAGGGCAGGGACTGGAGACAGGCCAAGCTGGCCCAACAGCATCCGAAACACATAGTGATAGCTGCTTTTGGGGGACAAAACACAGCCCTGAGCACTTCCACTTGCCCACGAGCACCAGAAAGCACCACTCGTGACGGCGGCCAAAGGGAGGTTTCCCAGCACCGAGAAGGCTAAAGCTCTGGTTTCTGCACACCGTGAATGAGTGACTGTTTAAGAGACATGCTCTCTGTTCACACATTATTGCCTCCGATTCCGCATGCGCAGCAGCAGCATCCGCACCGCCTCTCCACCAAGTAAGTCTGGTTTTTCAGTTCATTTTGGTGAGCTGACTTCTGAAGTAAAGTTCATTCTGGTAGGGTTATTCCTCAACAAAACAAATCTCCTAAGTCACTCTGAACAGGGGTACAGATGAACTGCAGGTATCAATTTGGCAGAGAATCAAGGCTTTATTTATTAAAACATATACATATTTTTTGGTGCAACAGAAAACTTGCAGAGCTGCATGTGTTGTGACACTGACAACCAGGTCCCAGGTCTGTATTAAATCACACATATTAATAATATTGATAAAACACATTGAAAGATTTCCTTTCTGGCTTAAAGGACTCTGGGATGAAGCGGTCTCCAATCCTGAGCTTCACTGGACGCTGCATCCTGGTCATGTTCTTCAGGGTCCTTGGTGAGCTCTACAAACATCTGCAATAGACAGCAACAGAAATGATCTAGGTATTTCCAAGCACCTGACAATACCAACACTGATCACACATTTTCTTTTTTTTCCTGAAATAAAAGTAACTTTTGAATTTGACTCTGCTTTTTCACTATGCCTCTTCAGCAGTAAAGTAACATCTCACTCTCAGGAGCGTCCCCGATATTTTCATTTATCCACTTAATTGCAATAGCTACTTCTTCTCCAAGAAAACTAATTTAAGCAATAACTCGGCAATCTTTTCCCTGCATTTCAAGCTCCACAACGATAACATATGCTTTATAAACAAAATGAAACTTTCCGCATGGTGAAAGCACAGTGCATTCCTACTTTCTTAACTCTGAGTACGCACACAGTGATAAGGGCTTTCCCGCTCCACTTGCAGCACTTAAGCCTGGCTATGTCACATTTTTGGGATATTTGTCTCTGACCTCTGGTAAGCAGGAAGCCCAGACTCCTAAAGTCACACCTGAAGTAGCCCAAAGTAGAGGGTGTGAACACACTTTCAAGCCCATTCTGCACTATGTAACTTTTGCATCACCTACCTGTTGCAAGGTGCGCAAAGACAAGCTGTACTCCTCAAGCCTGCTATTTTGCTTAGCTGTGGAGGGATGGAGAAGGAATTCTTAAAAACCAAATCCAAATGAGCAATTGTAAGCAGTCTTCATACTTAATTTATTGTTTCCTTTTACCTGCTTCTAGCTTGGAGAAAGCCTGGGACAGAGGTAGTGCATCTTCCACTGGTATCTTGTAGATCAGCAAAGAAGAAGAACTACCAAAAAAAGAAAAAAATTCATCATTTTGTGGCTGTGGTTTAGGGACTCTCTTATAGCTACTGTATTCACAGATAAATCACTGAGCAGAGTCATTAGGAGCAGGGCAGCGGCTCCACAGGGCGTCCGGCCAGCTGCCCAACCCCGCGCAGCCCCGCGGTGCAGAGACCTTTCCTGCCGAGCTGCCTCAGGGAAGAGCCGTAGAATTTCGGCATGGACAACATCGCTTTGCCCCGCATCCTTCATTTTGACTTCCAGGTAGTAACTTCTGCCAAACTTACTTTTCAGATCCTCAATTGAACCGATGTAGCTGTAGAGGAAGGAAGAAGAACAGTGCTCTAACCACGGTAAGTAGCAAATAAAGCAACCACTGGATGTAAGCAGCAGATACATTGCTCTTCAGCTCTTATTCTTCAGCTATTCACACTGTGCTGCTAAAACAACCTACCTTCTTATGAAGCTATGTTCATTACACACTTGGGGCAAACCAAACCAAAATGAACATTTTCTATTACATTAATAAGAGTAAATTAAAAAAATTGACTAGGACAGCGCCTGAGCTGGAGGTGATGCAGTGCATGATGCTATCCCAGTGCCCACCGTAGCTGCCCTGACACCAGGACGGCCACCCGGTCGCACATCGCCGCGGCCTTGTCCAGGTCGTCTGTGCTGAGAATGGCTCCCCTCTCCTTGCTTTTCAGTGCGGTCTGAATTGCTTTCCTGGAAACAAAGGGATTGCAGTTACTTTCCAGGAACAGTCACAGAAAACTTCCTGGTTTGTTTCTCCCCTCAAAAACCCACTGAAATGATAAAATAGTAAAAAGTGGATGACCATTTAGAGGACTTCAGTAGCAACGGAAATTGCCATTAACAAACAAAAGACCAACGCTTTCCTTACTTTGCTCTGAACAACTTCTATAACACTGAGTTTATAAGGAGAAAGCAGTTACTAAATACTTTTTGCACATTCTTGCTTAAAGATGACATGTGAACGCTAATGCTACATTGCAATTTGTCATGTCAGCATCCCTCCAAATTTTAGTTTCAGGTAAAACAGTTTTTGAAAAACAAGAGTAAATACTAGAGCTGAGTGGTCAACCATTATGGCAAGGAAGAACTACCTATAATTTTGTCTCAAGCTTTGAAGAAAAAGGGAGATTTTTCTTTTGTACCAAATGTATGGTTTCAGTTGGAGCCTACTCATATTTTTTTGACTTTGCTACCACTAATATCAAATCTGATGACTAGTAACGGCTTACTGCCTGCTGAGTAAGGGGTTTAGTAAGTGGCACCCTGTGCAACTGGGAAAAGGGAAAATACGGACATCCTCTTCCACTGAAGCAGAGGGTATTTGCGTGTCCAATGGTTACTACAATAACGAGGGTCAGAGCTATTCTGTTGCAGTTGTAAATCCATAACCTATTATACGCCTCTTTGTTCTGCTAAAATAGCACTACTCACCACATACGGCATTGCCCTTTCAGATCCATGCCCGCTGACGGCTCGTCCCAAAGCATGACTGTTGGGTCACCCAGAATGCTCAGCGCAAAACACAGCTAAAATGGGAAACACATCAAGGTAAGGTCTGTTTTACTTTGCCTGGGCAACCACTAGAACCAGGGACGTGTCCCTGTATATCTTAACTCCTGTAAATCTTTTAGGAGCCAAATCTCTTCATTCAAAAACAGAGAAGGAATAGAGTCAGAAACTGCCTCCAGGTGTTCTTAGTTAACATTTTAATCTTACAAAATCAGCTTCCCTCACACATCCAAGTCTGCCAAAGATTTGAAAGTCGTTTTCCATTCTATTTACTGGCAGATGTACGCTATGGGGCACAAAGAAGTGATAAAATCCAATCTGTGGTTACCATTTATCACACACAATGCCTTGAGAGGGAGGCATTGTGGGGAGGAGAGGAGAGTGGGGAGTCCTGCCAAACAGGATTCAGAAGATACTGATGAAAATAAATCAGGCTAGAAACGTACTTGCGGTGTGCGCGTCTGTCTTAGAAGAAACCAACTACCTTGTAAGGGGGCTATAATAGTGCACGGTCCGGGTCTCTTGTGGCACAGAAAGCAGTGAACAACTGGGGGACAGTGCGAGCCCAAGCAGATTTCACTCCTCCCTTGACTCTACCGATCTCTCATTAGCACGCCATGTTTCCAGAATGGGTTATACAAGACAGAATTTTAGGCTTTCTTCCAAGAATAAAATTTCTACTGCATGAAACAAAAAATAAAACTTCTCCAATGCCGAGGACCACATTCTGCTCTCACGGACATCAGTACAGGAGCCAAATAAGTCCATAAGCTTGAATGAAGTCTTTTTTAATCACATTCGAGAAAAAGAGCAGGGATTTGGTCAATTACAAAACACAAATCTAACATACCTTTCTAGCTTCTCCTGCAGACAACCTCCTAACTGCTGTTTTTAAATGCTTCTGGAGCTCCAGGGCCTCTGCTATGCTGTCAAAAGTGGAATGGAAAAGACAACTAAAACATACATCTCCATTTGCTAACAGTGTGGTCAGTGGTACTGAGGAAACCTGGAATCAAAGACTAACATACTTGCTTTGGCTGAAACACGTCACCTTGGGTTACTTGGGGATTATATTCCTAGTTCTATTGATAAATTAAGGAATTCTTGCAGAAACTCATGACATTAAGTATGGCTAATAGAGAAGGGGAGTTATTAATGTAAAAGCCCAAAACTGAAGCTTCTCTAGATAAACTAGGGTGAAAATCTTCATAAACAAGGGATTCAAAACACTGTAACATAGCAGATCTCATCTGAAGTCATGTTCCTCCAAGGTAAAGAGCCAAATTCATTGCAGGTGCTGTCTCTGATTCACACCAGCCAGATTTGTTAGTGAAACCACCTTTCCACGTCTCCCTGTCTTTTAACTCTGGAGAGATGAAAAGCTGAAAACTGAAATTATTTGGCCTCATACCAACTGATGTTAACAGCTGCATCTTCTTTCCTCATCCCTCTCACAGCAGCGTAGGTCTCCAGATGTTCTTGCACTGTGAGATCAGGCCAGAGCGGGTCCTCCTGAGGGCAG